CTTATACGACGGAGGATGAGACGCACATAAAGAGGATATTTTCCCTTCCATGCATCTCCTTCACTGTCAAATCCGCTTCCCCTTTTCAACCTCTCCTTATAAGAAAAGGGTAGTAAAGAGAAAGGGACTTAAATTAGGCCTCCTGCACCACACTCATCAGACGAAACACGGAATTGCTTCCATTTCACGCCTGTCTTCTGTGTGGTCACGGTATTACACCGGGCGTGCCGGCCCATTCGTGCTAAGATGTTAAAGCGGGCACTACCACTGTTGGAAATTCTTAACAATACGATGGATTTTAACGAAGACAACAGACAAGTGGGAACGAAGGGCAAAATTAGTTAATTTTATTCATTAAGCACCGTTAAGTTTGATGTTATTACTTAACAGTTGAATGATCAAATGTGTACCAAACATTTTAGTTCCATTATCATCAAACTGACAATTTGTTTAACAAAATAAACAAATTCAAATTAAACAGAGAGACGCTTTTGTTTATTTCAAATCGATCCTTTGTACATTTTGTTGTAAATACAGTGTTTAAATTTTAGCCGATGGTATATTTTACTATTATAATGTCTTTCAAAGCAACTAAAGTCTACTTAATGGGTGATAGAAATAGTTTTCTTAATGTCTTTTGACAGACTAATGTCCTTTCCTTAGCATATAGCTATCTATTTTAATGAGGGATTGTTTATTCAATTTGTATTGTCTATGTATTTAGTACATACATTTTTAAATTAACCAAGTGGTAATTATTTCGTACAAGCGCCTGACGAAATTTAATAGCAAAATATACGTTAAGACTTTTCAAGTAGCTTAAAGGTTTACAAATAGCAATGTATTTGACGACTTTAAATCGGCAAGTTAGAAATTCAAGTCGTGTACACCCGTGCAGCGGACATCGTACATTTAACTTGTCCACTTTGTTCCGATTGAATCGACTTTACCAGTTTCTATGTTTCTATTTCTATTTTCTTCACGATACACGTAACGTGAAACAAATATTAATTTAGTATTTGTTGCAAATCCTAGACACGTTAAACGTTAATTAGTACATACAAGCGAAACATCGCAACAAGAGTCATCATCTCCCCTGCCTTATCCTACTCCTGTAGGGTCGGCGCACCGGGTTTTCGTCCTCCAAAGCAACATCGCAACAAGAGTAAAATAAAAATAATTAATGTTAACAGAACAAATAACGGTATACGATGGTACGATGAAAGAAAGTTGAAGGTCGCAAAACATCTACAACAGATTCTCAAAATGTATTAAAGCTGGGAATCGATGTGAAAAGATTTTGGAATATCTGGTCCAGGTCTTAGACAAAAAGTAACTGTTCATCATAATATATTAAATACTAGCTGTTCCCGTGCGGATTCATCCGCATGAAATTATGAAAATTTTATTTTATTGTTTGCATTTGTATATTTTATCAATTACAATTGTCAAAATGACATGACATGATGACAACCTTGCTTCCTTGATGTTGGCAGCAACTTATGGTCTCTTTCCCACATTAGGGTTTTTATCCAATTTATTTAGCCCATAAGTTCAATTGCGTAAAAATATATAGCCTGAAGCGTGACGTAAGCGTAGGGCTTTTTATTAAAAAAAAGAATTATTCAAAAATATGTTGTCATTGCTGACATCTTAGGCAACAAATTTATTGTAATAGTATAGATTTTGTAACACTAACACGTGGTACAAATCAGGGAACATATCGGACCGTAGAAGTTTTTCATTGCACACGACTCGTCCTTAGAACTTTCTGACATGTTTCGTACAAAACTTTCACAGCACTATTGAAGAACAGGTGTTTCTTATTATTTATTTTAAACTTAGTTTTTGTAATCTTACATTTAAGAGCCCAAGCGACATGAAATCCATATTACTTTCAGTATTATATCCTAGTCAACATCATCTCCCCTACCTTCCCTATTCCCGTAGACGGCATCGGTTTTCGTCATCGTCGTCATCAAATAACTCTATCATACGTCATCTCAGTCACTCCCTTCTTGATCATGTCACCTTACACGCAATCCATCCATCTCTTTTTAGTTAAGTCCTAGTATCGATTCATTTTCTTTTACTTGTTTTAGGGTCTGTCCTACCGAATTGTAAATTGTCGGATAACAACCCAACGTGTAAAATATGCGATGAAAATATCGGATATTGTTCCCGCATCTGAGAGTGACCGTCATTTTTAAGCTACCAGTGGTGGGATAGGCCCTAAGTATTATAAATGCGAAAGGTTGGATGGATGATTGTTACTTGTCAAATGTACAGACAGATCTCGATTAAATTTGGTACAGGCGAAGATAGTCTAGAACTTCACAGGCTGTACACTAAGATTTTTTTAATTTCCGTTCGGACAAGCCAACAAAGGCTAGTTTATTATGATGATTCCACAGATCTGTAAATACGATTCTATTTAAACTAAATGTAAATTTGATATCAAACATTTAAATTTCATGAAACGTGTTTAAGCAGTTGTAATCGCTTTGAATTTTAAATTCCACACGATAATATTGTAATGTAGGTGTGTTAATCAAACGGCGGTTGGTACTGGACTGATTTATTATGAGTGAACTGACGGTACATTATATTAAGGTACCCTCAT